TTTTTTTTTTTTTTTTTTTTTTTTTTTTTTTTTTTTTTTTTGTTGTATTTTTTTTTGTGTTATTTTTTTTTTTTTTTTATTTTTATTTTGTTGTAAGCCGCACAGAGTCCCCCATTGTGGGGAGATGGGCAGGGACAAGTCTATTAAATAAATAAATAAATAAACAGACAGACAGACAGACAGACAGACAGACTAGCAGCAGATTAAGCAAGCACATGGGTCACCTGGTCTCAATTTTTTCACTGTGGTGAAATATATTGTGTATTGTTCAAAATATAACAATTCTAGCACTAACAACATAATACCCGGAAGTGCCAATGCGCTCACAAACATCTTTTCTAGTGACTGTCAGATTTCCTTGTTTCACCTGATTTTTTTATATTAAAATATATAAATTAAAATAATGTGAAACTGACATGCTACAAAGGCATCCTTATTTCCAATAATGCCTCTGTGCCCCAAGAGGCCATATAAACATTCTTAAGAAATAAAAATAATGGGCAGCTGCAGACCAGCGCTTTGTTTGGAAATCTGCTATCAACTCAGAAAAATGGGAAATGGGGCACATCCAGGGAGGCAGGGGGAACAGAGGGGGTGACAAATAATTGGCAGGTCTTCTGTGAATGAGCAATGTCCCGCCCAGCACCTTTCTCACATACAGGTAGTCCTTGCTTAACGACTGCCCTATTCAGCGACAGTTCGAAGTTATGATGGTGCTGAAAAAGTAACTTTATGACTGGTCCTCACACATACAACCGTCATAGCTTCCTGCAGTCACGTGATTGTGATTCAGGCGCTTTGCATCCAGCGGGCATTCATGATCATCACAATGTTCATGGTCAAATGATCGCCATTTGAATGCTTCACGGCTGGCTTCCAATAAGGAGAATCAATGGAGAAGCCAGCAGTAAACATGCAAGTCACGGTCACATGATGTCTTGCTTAACGATTGTGTTGCTTAGCAATGGAGTTGCAGTCCCAATTATGGTTAAGCGAGGACTACCTATATTCTCAAAATTTCAGCTATGCCCACTAACTCAAAAATGACACCCTTGTAGTTATTTTTCTCATCTCTACATACGAAACAGGCGGGTGCAGATTTATGCAATTCTGCATCCTCCTCTGTTCATTATTATTGCTGCTTCTGTTGTTGCTTGTTGTTATTTGGAACTGCCCATTCTTTGCAGAAAGGAACCGCCCAAGCATGTTTCTAGACTTGCAAATACTCACATGCTCCCCGAACAAGCGAGAAGAAACCCACAAAATAATGCAAAGCACGTAGATCACAACAGTATGTTGGTTGCACATGCTTAGTCCGCAAGAGAAGGCGCCCACTTTACAGATCTGCAAAAAGGAGGGAAAACAGAGATTCTAACAATGGATTAAAATTTGGTTTTTCAAGTTGTTCTTGTTCTTACAATGACTCTGGGGCAGTTTGTTCACAGTGGCATCTGCAGGGGGGTTTAAAGTGGTCAGGCTGACATGCACATGCAAAAGGGGTGGACCTTGCAGCACAACGGCACAATGTTGTGTTTGTCGCTTTGACAAATAGCAGCCAGAGCTGTGGAGGATGCCCACGTCTGTTCACACGACTCCCTATTTACCATCCTGGAAGTCAAAAGATGACCTTGGCTGGTCCATAAAAGGTACACAGGTTAGTACTTGGTTGGGAGATCACCAGGAAATCCAAAGGTTGTATGATAGAAGACAACTGGAAGTATGGGTGGCCAGTGGTTGCACACAATATTTGGGAAAGGGAGCTGAGGGCCTCAGTGGGTGGGTTGATGATTGCAGTGGGTGTAATCTTGTTGCTTTCTTGGATTGGAAGGGAGGAGTAACTAGTGGAAAACTGTGCCACAAATTTAGGATAATCATGGGGCTCCAGGGCTGCAAAAATAGCTTGTCCCACAGCCATGTACTATGTATCAGAAAACAGCAGTAAAAAGGGGAAAAAAGGGATATTTTAAGATAGACTTCAGGAAGCTACAACTCTAGCAAAGAGAGAGTTCCTGATTACACCCAGGCCCAACTTGAAAAATCACTTTGGCTCATGCCGGTGGCAGGACAACACACACTCATCCTTCCTACAAAGGTGCCCACACACCTCCGTTTAAAAGGATCAGTGAAGGGGAAAGACTTTAGGCCAAAATCTTGAACAGTCACTGCCAGTGAAAGCTACAACTTGTCCAATTCCCAGCCAGTATCTGGCAAGTCACACCCCAATATATTCAGAGACTCCAAGCATGGGGAACAATTGGCTTAAGCTACTCTATACAGTTTGGTCCTACATCCCAGAGGCTTAAGGGGAAGGGGAACCATTCCTGAAGCCTTTTGATCCTGAGTAGGCTACCTTTGATCTCTCCTCCGCAGTTGTTGCCTCCTCGAATTGCACAGAAAGTGCCATCAGCAGCCCCACAAACAGATTGTTTAAGCTGAAAACCTCTGCTGTGATAGACCACTGCCACGTTAGACGGGAAAACGAAAACATCCCCACAGCAAAGACTCCTGCTGCCTGTGAGCCAGAAAGCCTGCAAACATAGATAACAAGAAAATGCATCTTTTCCTCCATTATTACTAGTCCCCACTCATCAGAATTAAACACAAACAAACAGATGCCACCTTCGTGGTGCTTCTCCTCCTCTCCCCCCAAAACCCATACTATACCATCACGAAAAAACACCTTTCTTTTGGCAGGATCCCACCAAAGCCTAAGCTGTTGGAATATCATAATTTTTAACATTTGAATTTAGAAGGCAAATTAGGTTGTTATTACAGAGGAACAGCATCCCTAGATGCTGATAAATCAAAACTACAGAAGCGCCATGCATGCCAGAACTACCAAATTCTATGAGGCAAGGCTCACTGTAAGGCAATTCTGTGCACGTGCCTTTATTAACGTCTGTCTAGATCAGTGTTTCTCAACCTCAGCAACTTTAAGATGTGTGGACTTCAACTCCCAGAATTCCTCAGCCAGTATGCAAATGCAGACCCAGTCAACTCTACTCCTTCTGGAAGCTGAACAAGGACCCTGCTTTTGTCCTTAAGTGGGGCAACTGCCTGGGACCACCAGAGCTGCTGATTGGCCTGGAAAGTTGAAAAAAATACCCCGGATGTAGGCAAGGGCAAATCACATCCACGTTGCCAAGAAAACACAGATATGACCATGTGGGATTAAAAACCAAGCCCTATGAAGAGAGACTGAAGCGGCTGGGGATGCTTAGCCCTGAAAAAAGATGTTTGGGAACAAATCTAATACATTCCTCAATATGCCTGAAACAATATCACAAAGAGAAGGTCAGGACCTCTTCTCTTATTTCAGAGTTCTCGAGATGGAATAATGGATTTATCCCACTCATACAGGGAGTGGGATCAATTACCTAGAGCAATATTTCTCAACCTCAGCAACTTTAAGATGCTGGCTGGGGAATTCTGGGGGTTGAAGTCCATACATCTTAAAGTTGCTG